TTTTTTTTCCATTGAATCCATTCTCAAATGATAAAATTAACAATTTGGGTTTATATGTTAAGGAAGTTCAAAGAAAGCTAGCATAACTGAGCATCCATACCTGGCAAATGTCTCTTAGTGATTACAGGTTTTCTGGTTTCTCCTCAACACAAACCAGAATGGTTTAGGATAGATACTTCCAAGGGATGGGCAGGCCATCTATCCCACAGGGGATGAGGAGCTATGACTATGGAATGGGACCTGCCCAATACTTCTGCTGTAACTGCCCACAGCATGCCATCTTGCTTCATTCTCCTTTTCTATAAAGCTGGAGAGGTTGTCTCCTCAATCGGGCACCTAGGCTATAGCCAGGACTTGGATGCCCCCCACTCAGAGCTGATACAGGCAGCTTGAAGGAGTGATAAAGCATGGCTTTGGACCTCAGCAGGTGTCAGGTCCTGTCACGTGCTCTATCCTCAATTAAAAATAAAGAGAGCATCACAAGACCCTTTAAGGTTTCATGATCATCAACTAGAACAAACATGTGCTTCACCCAGCACAGAGCCTGGCACACAGGAGGCACTCAGAATCTGCTGGTTCCGTATTATCATTCCTAAGACCCACACTTTAGCTGGGTGGTGGTGGTGCACGCCCTTAATCCAACACTTGGGAGGCAGAGGCAGGTGGATCTCTGTGAGATCGAGACCAGCCTAGTCTACAAGAGCTAGCTCCAGGACAGCCTCCAAAGCCACAGGGAAACCCTGTTTTGAAAAACCAAAAAAAAAAAAAAAAAAAGACCCACACTTTATGATTCCTCTTCTCCCTGCCTGCCCACCTTATCCCTGAACACATCCTCAGAGAGACCTGTTGACAAGGAAAGTGCCTAGAACATAAGGAGAAGGAAAAGCAAAGAGGTTTGTCCGTTACTAGGGAATTAAAGGTAGGAATGAACCAATAAATCATGGGTCAAGGGTCTTGCTCTCTAGGGGCTCCTGCTTTGACCCTTGGGGAGCATAAATATGGTGGCTAGCTGTGGCAAGAATAAAGAAAGCACCAGGAGAAAAGCTCTCCAACTGTAAGTTACAGGCTACTGAGGTGATGACAACCAGAATAGAATGAGAACAGAAACAAGGAACCTGGGGTGGGATTTGCAGGGACTACAGTAAAATCTAGAGGCTGATGGCTGCTGCTTTGAGGCATAGAAGACTTTGTCTCCTTGCTAGAAACATGAACTTAGGTGAGAGGGAAGGAAAGTATCCAGCCATTAATGTACTTGGAATTTGAAATTTTACCAATCTTAGTGAAGATTTACTTTTCCACACCCCAACATGGACAACTTTGGCAGGCCGCCCTTCCTTATAGAATGGCCTTCTGCACCCCTATTGGCTTAACCCTACCTATGAGGTAGAGGCAAATGACCCAGCTCCTTGGTTTTTCTATCTCTAACTGCAGGACAGTTTGTCAGGCTTGTTCAGTCTTCTACCATTGGTGCAATCTGAAGGTTTATGCCCTCCCCATTCATATGTTGATGTTCTATTAATAAATTCTCATGAGGGTAGTCTTAGAAGATGGGGCGAGGAAACCCATAAAGAAATGATAATGGAACCTTATAAGTAAGATTAGCACCCTATAGAAAGGCCATAGAAAGCTAATTTGCCCTTAGTATCCCATGAATACTTATCTATAAACCAGAAACCTGGCCGTTACAAACACTAACCTGTTGGCATTCCTATCTTTAAAATTCTGTAGTTTATAAATATTTTATTGCAACTCAAGCAGGCTAAGACAGAACACTGGTACCAGAAGTAGGGTGCTGCTATGACAAATACCTAAAAAATGTAGTAGTGGCTTTTTAAACTGGGTAATAAACAGAAGGTTTCAGAATTTTGAGGTACAGACTAGTCAGAGCCTACATCACTGTGAGTAGATCATTAAGGGTAATTCTGTTGAGGGTCAGCTTCCAGTCTCAGAAACCTTGAGAGCAATATCTGGACAGTTTATCACCTTGTTTCCAACCCAGAATGTGATAACCAAATGGCAGGCAACACTCCTGTCCGTATGTTTCCATATGATTGAAACCAGTGTGAGTCTAGGTTAACCTGGAAAGTTGGTGTTCATTTAAAGTTGCCCATAGAGGACCCTGGGGACAGGACTAATCATTTCACCCCAACTCTTGAACATGAATACCTTCAGAAGTGAGGCACAGTACATGTGAAGATAAAGCTTGACTCTTAGAAGCTTTTCCAACAACCAGTTCATGTTCTTTGGGCAACTGAGACTCACTCTTGATTCTTCCCCCAAGAAGAATTCAGCCACAGGAAAGACTAAGGGACAATTGAGTGGGCTACCGAGTTTGTCCTCCCACTTTGTGTCTGGTTTTAGCTTTTTCTTCTGTCTTCTCTTGGGCCCTGGCAGCAGCTGCCTGTCTAGGTACTTCCTGCTAGCAAGGAGGAGCTTCCTGAAATGCAAACCTCCTATGTTATTTCTTAGTTTACAACCCTTCAGGGGCTCTCTCCCTACTGAGTAGAAATTCAGCTCTGTTTGTGTTGTCTTGTTTTTAACATGGTTTAAAGGCCCTTCAAGGTCTCTTCTCAACATGGGAGCCAGAGTGGTTCCTTCAAAGTGGAAGTCAGATCCTGTCGATACTTTGCTTTAAAAACCCTCTTGGCTCAACATTTTGCTCAGAGCTAAAGCCAAAGTCCTGTCTTGTTCTGGCTGCTACCCTGCCTGATATCAGCTACCACTGCCCTCTCCTGCTTCCTCAGCTCAGCCTCTTGGAGACCCTGATGGCTATAGCACCCAGAAACACCTCCACCTTAGAGCCTGTTTCTCTCTCCCTGTGATCTCCCCCTCCAAGGCTTCTTCCTCTCTCAAATGTCACCTTCCCAGGGATCTGTGCCCTGACCATTCGCCTATAGTTACAAAACTCCTTTCTGAACACTGGGATCTGGAATCCTCACTCACACAATGGATGTTGTACTCCTGTGCTTTGCTAGTAGTTAGTTTCCCTAAGCTAAATGCTAGGTTACACAAGGAAGGGAATTTTGACCAATTCACTTGTTGGTAACCTTAAACTCTTAGAACACTGCTTGACACCAGAGCAGCCCGAGGACTTGGTCTGTGTCTTCAGCTTCATCTCTAGCTACTGATATCCCCAGCAATCCTGAGTACCCCATGACTCTTCCCATCCCATATAGTCACCTCTAATCCCCTACCTTTATTTTATTTTTTTTGTCCTGGAATGCTCTGCTCAACACCCACCCCAGGGTTTTTATCTGGTAACTTGAATTTATCTTTAAAAACTCAAGTCAGATTTAACTGCCTCTAAAAACCTTGTATGAGTCCCCAAGGCTGGGTTAAGTGTTCACTTTGTTCTCCCATTGCATCCATTGATTCATATTTAAACCTGACTACTATAAATATGTTTGTGTTCCTCTTCTTCGCTAGGCTGAGAGCTCCTTGAGGAACAAGGGTGGATATTATTTCCTTAACCCCATACTTCTTGGATCCTTGTGTAGTGCTTTATACTTAGCGAGTCTTCAGACTTGGTGATGTTGAGTGTTTGAATGGTATAGTTCAGATATCAGGAAACCCACTGTGCATCATGCTTAGAGTAAGCTCCTGGGGTGACCTCTAAGATCAATAGCATACCACAGTTGGTACAATCACATACCATCTGGCAGGAGGGCCAGTGGGTACAAAGGGCAGTGAGGGAGTCATGGAAAACATGTGTGATACTTAATGAATCTTCAGGGAAATCAAAGTGATGCACCTCTCCCTGGGCAAGAAGGGTGCCAGCCAGCCAGTCCCCAGAGGTATGCACAATGGCACTAAGAATTGTCAGAACTACTGGACTCAAATGCCTGGTGCCCTCTGGGTCACAGTTCACCATTACCTAAGTATTTTCCCCAGGCATTAGCCACAATAAGAGGTAAGACCGTGGAAACCTGGAAACTTTGGGTGACTGTTCCCTCCATGACAGTTACTCTGCTCTTCCTTGCCAACCCGTGCTGGCATGCATACATGGCCACCTGCTCATCTGCCTTTTACTGTTACTGTTGGCAGGTTAATGACCTAGTGACTTCTTTGCCAGTCACCTTAGAGTTGGGGGCTGTGAAAATCTACCAGAGTGGCATGTCTACTGCTGTGGAAACAGATTTTGGGCTCTTAGTGACGTTTGATGGCCAGCACTACGCCTCCATTTCCATCCCAGGCTCTTATATAAACTCCACCTGTGGGCTTTGTGGGAACTACAATAAAAACCCACTGGATGACTTCCTCCGCCCAGATGGCAGGCCTGCCATGTCGGTGCTGGACCTGGGAGAGAGCTGGCGTGTCTACCATGCTGACTGGAAGTGTGGCTCTGGCTGTGTGGACAATTGTACTCAGTGTGATGCTGCTACCGAGGCCCTCTACTTTGGTTCTGACTACTGCGGCTTCCTCAACAAGACAGATGGCCCCCTATGGGAGTGTGGCACTGTCGTGGATGCCACGGCTTTTGTGCACAGCTGTGTGTACGACTTGTGCAGCGTAAGGGACAACGGCACGCTCCTCTGCCAAGCCATTCAGGCCTACGCCTTGGTGTGTCAAGCCCTGGGCATCCCAATTGGAGACTGGAGAATCCAAACTGGGTGTGGTAAGCTGGCATGCCATCTTATGGAAGGTGTCCCTATGCCAGGGGCAGGGATAGGATTTCAAACCTCCTCCAGACCCTTTAAAACTCATGGTCCAAGAATGAGGGTGGTGTTGAAATATCACCAATTATACATAATAAACTATGAAGAGATCTTTACCCCTCCCACTGTCATAACCAAGAAATAATGCACCATCGATGAGCATAAGATATCTAGAAACAGGAAATGAATGACAGAAAATACAGACTAGAGGAAACCCCATAGTGTGGATGGCAGCCCAGAGCTGAGCCAGAGGGAGGTGATTCCACAGTTGGAGTGGCTGTTGAGGAAATGCAAATGGTAGCTTAGGGGACAGAGCCCACATGGGGGAATGACCTCCCTCCTAGGTGGAGGATTCTGGTGCTGGCTCTTTAGCTCCTCATCTTTGGTCCCCCACCTCCAGGGCCCTCAGAATTTGTGCCATTTTTTTCTGCAGCATCTCATCTCATCTGATCAGAGAAAGGGCCTATCAGTAAGGAAGTCCTTTTTTTGTGTAGCCAGTAGTCAGGAAAGGCCTGGACTTGTGGGAGAATCCAGGTTCTTTACAATAGGCTTTTGGATGAAGTTTTCCCATACTGCTTAGCTGTCTGACTGTTTCTCCCCACCCCACTATCCCATTTTAATCTCCCCTTTCTTACTGATAGAAGCACAATAATAATTTATCTTCTTCCTGGTCTCTGGTTAGCTTTGCATGAGTAAATAGACAGCTGTTGTTCATGCCTTTAAGAAGCTGTGTGTGGAGGTGAGATTTAAATCTCTCTGAATTCCAAGGCTAGATGGAGCTTCCCTCCACAAGCATGGGTTGGAGCCACATAAATCATCATGTGTCAGATTCAAATCTCAGTATATTGGTCACACTACCAAGAAATGGTGTATCTTTCTTGCTATGTGACTTACTGACCAGCCTCCATTATAGCCAGAACAGCCATCTCATAACTCACATTCAAGTTGAATATGGCTTCTTGTTGAGCTTTATATAATCCAAGAGGATCCAAATTGCCCAACTAAATTTTTATAAATAATGGTTGTGTATTTTTCCCAGTGGTCTGGTTGTCATCGTACCCCCACCCACCCGCACTCTCTCTTACTGGGATGAATTCTATTTAACTCAGAGCCGGTTTACTAGACGTATGTCTGCTGGATTCAGCTAGACTCAAACATTTGTGTAGACTTGAACGCTTTTAAATAAGAGAAGTCAGCTTCTAAGGCACAGGCTATCCTCGGAAGGCAGCAGCTAGCTCCCAGCAAGCCTCCCAGAGGAACAGGCACACCAGCTCTGCAGACTGCTCGGTTTCTTTCTCATTTTTAATGTTCCAGGAATTCATTTCCACAGTCTGCCTCGGTCACACTCAGATATTTTAAGTGCCTTCTTGTTTGAAATTTCATGTCTTCAAATTGCTGCTCTGACGGGTACAATTTTCATTTCTCCTGAAAGTTTTATTTCCTTCTAAGAATGGGCCATGCTCTTTAAAATCAAGGCATCTCCTGTGTCCTTGGTGGAAGATTTGAAAACATCTTCATGACTGCAGATCACTAAGTAGTAACCCTCTAGTGAGGAGTGGGGCTAAGCTAGCAAGGACAAACAACTTCAAGGTGAAATTCAGTGGGTTCAAGTTCAGGTAAAAAATCTCACAGCCCCAGCATATAGAGAAAGCAATTGTGTCAATACTTACGCGTGTTCCCCTTCAGTCTCTTCCCCAGTAAGTGGCCACCTGACCTTCAGTCTGGGGCCTGAATGATCTGGGAGGAGCATTTTTGGTTTTTCTCAGCCCCTGTACTGGTTGGCTTCAGGTCTGCTAACCTATGACCGAGCTGTCTTCCTTTCTCCGCACCAGTGTCTACCGTGCGGTGCCCAAGTTTCAGCCATTACTCTGTGTGCACCAGTAGCTGCCCTGACACCTGTTCGGACCTGACGGCCTCTCAGAACTGTGCCACACCTTGCACGGAAGGTTGTGAGTGCAACGAGGGCTTTGTCCTCAGCACCAGCCAATGTGTCCCGTTGCACAAATGCGGCTGTGACTTCGATGGCCACTACTATACCATGGGGGAATTCTTCTGGGCCACAGCCAATTGCACAGTGCAGTGCTTATGTGAGGAGGGAGGGGATGTCTACTGCTTCAACAAGACCTGCCGGAGTGGGGAGGTGTGTGCTGTGGAGGATGGATACCAGGGCTGCTTCCCCAAGCGGGAGACTGTGTGCCTGCTCAGCCAGAACCAGGTGCTACACACATTTGATGGTGCCGCCTACGCATTCCCATCTGAGTTCTCTTACTCGCTACTCAAGACCTGCCCCGAGCGTCCTGAGTACTTGGAAATTGACATCAACAAGAAGAAGCCTGATGTCGGGCCTGCTTGGCTCCGGGGTCTTCGGATCCTCGTGGCTGACCAAGAGGTCAAGATAGGAGGAGTCGGGGCTTTGGAAGTCAAGGTAAGATTCCTTGCTTCCTTTGAGAGTCTTCAGATGGAGTGATGGAACTTGCCCTTTTCATCTGGTTTGGCTTTCTTCTTTTGACTGTGAGTAGATTCTAAAAAGAACATGGCTCCAATAGAGTGGCATTTTTAAATAATTGACCCAAAATGAGACTCAAGCAGGTGGAGAAATGGAACCAGGTGGAATTTTCTAAATTAAATAGAGCAACACTTACTCTCTATAAGAACAAGTCCCCACAGAACGCTATGTGCCAAGCACTATTCTAAGCCTTTTTCATCATGTAGGTTGTAGTATTACCTGTATCATCATATAGATGTCAAAACCAAGGCACAGAAAGATTGAGAAACTTGCTTCAGGGACACACAGCCTCCTTCCTTCCTTCCTTCCTTCCTTCCTTCCTTCCTTTCTTTCTCTCTATCTTTTTCTTTCTGCTGTTCATGTACTACTATCCTCCTCTGTTTTTCCCACCTCTCCATCATATATTTGTTCATTGTAGTGGCATTGGAAGCTGCGGTGTCACGCAGTGTACCCTTTAACCCAACAACTTTACTTGCAAATGTTCGTTATTATTAGTCATTGGTCTTGTTCAAGGCCTCTGGCTTCTGCTACACTACCCAAATAGGACCCTCACTATGGTTGTTTGAATGTATTTGGATCCCATAACTCATAGGGAGTGGCTATGTTGGATTAAGTGTGGCCTTGTTGGAACACATAGCTTTCAAAATAGGATTTAAGTGCAAGTAGGCTGGATACTGTCGTTTCTGTCCTTCATACTGTACTATCCCTTCTGCATGTAGAAGGGAGTTCATGTTCACAATAATAGAAGTCAAGGTAAGATTTCTTGGGGTGCCTGCATGCTGCCTCCTCTCCCTCTGATATGGGCTAATATAGCCATGATCGGGTGTC